TTTATGTTAAAAGGAGAAGAGTAAAGTCAAAGTCAAAAGTGGAAAGGATAGTAATAATTTTCGTTGCTGTGAGTGACGTCATACTGAAGAGTATTTTTAAAAAAGTTTTTAATTGATATCTTGAAAACTGTTGGGTATTGAACATTAGCGCAATGATCACTTTTGTTAAGGACGACTCCCTATACACAATATCAAAAATTCAGCAAAATTCCACATAGATCACTTTTCCATAAGAAATGTGCGGGGTCCTTTATGCGAGTGTGGACCTGTTCGCCGCATACGAACGACGCAAAAAGCGTCAAGTCAAGACCACTTCACACTCCACTACCCGACAGTAACAGATTCAGCATAAGATCTAAGGTCGCTTGCGGTGTGCTCCTTTTTAGTCCCGTTGTACCGAGTGCTGACATTTTCTGTACTTTGATGAGCATTTTCGAGGTCACCTTTCTGTCAATAGCCTTTCACCATACTACAGCTCCGTAGCTCCTAGTGGGTCTCACTATCGCAGTATACCCTATACATCCAATGGACAGGGCCGGATTTAGGCACAGGCAACCGAGGCAACCGCCTAGGGCGCCACGATTAGGGGCGCCAAATTGCAAACAAATTTATTTCAAGTTGATTAAAAAAATGTTTCATACAACAAGGATAATAGGGGGAAAATAAAAGATCCGACAACATTGTCCGGTGATAGTTAATTTATGTGTCACCACTAGGGATGTACCGGATTGGGTATTTGGCCGATCCGGCCGGAACGGGAATTCCGGCTCCTAACCGGACCGGATCGACAGTTTTCTGCAATTTAATAATAATTTGAAAGGGCGCATTCTTTTTTTACCGGCGAACCTACAGATGAGCAGTCTATCTCTTTTTAATACATAGGAAATCAAGATGACTTACTCATAATGGAGAATAGCTCGATGGAAAAAAAGAAAGCGGCTAAAGTTTGGTTATGTTTGAGTTTGGCTGCTCCTTCAAGTAGATTGGCGCATCCCCGAATCTATCTGGATGTCTATTTTCAAAGCCGGGGAATAGCGTTCTCATGAGAACGATTGCTCTGTCTTTGTTAGTGTTATGGAAATATGAATATGGGTGACGAAGACAGAACCTTCGTTCTCATGAGAACGTTTCTCCCCTGTCTTTAGAATAGGGACCACAGACATCTGACTCGAACGCTTGTGCACGTAAGACTTAAACGATTTTCAGTCCAGTGTAGTTGCAGTTGTTTTGTGTTCCTGTGTATCCAGCTAAGTTAAAAATGTCAAAAGTATGGAAGTTTTTTGAAATCCATACCTGAATTTAATGTTTATGTTTAAAAAAAATATTGTTATGGTTTACAACTTTAATTTTAATAAAGTTCTAAGTATTCTTCTTGCTTTCCGCTCATAAATTTATTATTTAACCTATTTTAAAATTTTCGAAAATTCCGGCCGGATCGCGGTTGCGATCCGGCCGGAACGGTAGTTCCGGGCTATAGGCCGGATTTAGTGGTACCGCCGGAATTCCGGTACATCCCTAGTCACCACTGTCGCCTCACGCCTGTCACCGCTCATCACGGCACCTTCGATCATCTATAGTCTCGTCTTTGTCTCAAGAAATAGATTGAATGGACTTTTGCTTCAGGAATTGAAAATGTTATAACCTTCGACCATTGAACACACTCGATGGTTATGTAAGATTCGATGAAGTAGATTATAGGTATGTTCTCACAGATACACAAACCAGTCAGAGCGTTTTCGATTGGTGCAAATCGCCAGTTTTATGACTATTTTCAACCAATGAAATTTCCTCTGACTGGTTTGTGGATTATGTGACTTTGCAAGACGTAAAGCCAGACGGGTTCTGGTCTATCGGACCGACTTTCATTGGTTGTGATTGTAAACTATCAGAAAACTGGTTGCTGGCGATTTGCACCAATCAAAAACACTTCGACTGGTTTGTGATTTCTGTGATTCTGTGAGAACAGACCTTATAATGTAATAAGTGAATATGCTATATGTACTTTTTAAAAAAAATGAAGTTACTTTTTTGTCTTAACTCCCCTTAACTCCTCTCTAAACGATAGCTTGAAATTCATCGTTTTTCAATACAATTTTTGAAGGGGCGCCAGAATTGAACTTTGCCTCGGTATATAATAGCTGTTGGACCGGCCCTGCCAATGGATGATGTGCGGTTGCAGTCCTCATTTTTCGCCGAATAGTTTTCTTCAGGTGTATTATATTGCAGTCAGGCCTTTTCTTATTCTTTCTTCCGTGTTTCTCATCCACAAGAGTTTGGAGTCCAGGACGATCTTTAGATTTTCAGGCACTTCGCTTCTTTTGATAGTTCGAAGGATTGTCCCCCAACCGTCAGCATTGTAAAACTAGGAATTTTGTATTTTCTTGTGAACAGGACTAGCTTAGTTTTGTCAGAGTTTACTTCGAAACCGTTCTGTGTTGCCCATCAGGAGTTCGTTTAATGCTGCTTCCGTAATTACACTGATGGTTGATAAGCTGAGGCCCATGCAGTAGGTCCTCTATTAAACTGCAATGAGTTAACCTCTCACTCCAAAGTGTTTCAACTTTCCTGGAAGTAGAAAGTAGATTATGCGTTCTCATAATAGATTACATCTGTGGGTTGAGAGTTATCTCCAGTCTTGAAGACATTCAAGTAAATTTGTTGTTGTAGGACGTTTAGAGAGAAATCCGTGTTGTGAGGGTGGTATGAGATTTTTTTCAGAGAAAAACGTACGCTGTCAGTTCCCTAACAACTATCTTTTCCATGCATTTTAGTGGATTGCATGTTACTGGACTAATAGGCCTATAATTTTCTGGTCTATGTTGATCACCCTTTTTGAATAGTGGAGTCACTTACGATTTTTTCAGGTGTTAAACACTCATGCATAGCATCAGCTATAGTCAAGAACTAATCGATTCACCACAGTTCTGCAGTACTATCGTAGGTATTTCATCTGACCCTGAACTGGACTCTTTTTTGATACTGTTTAGGGCTTCTTTGACTTCTTTTCCAAAATACTCTTCAACCCTCGCATGGATCGGTAAAACAGGGAGAGTATAAGGTTCTGTTGAGTGAAGGCTTGGTACTATTACGTCGTCAGCATACGCAATCAATTTTATCCTTCTTTCTCTAAAGGATTTTAGAATCATATCAATTACCCACAAGAGTGGAGATATTACTTCTCCTTGTGGAGTCCCTCTAGTTGTTCTTTTCCTTATGGTGTAGTCACCAATTTCTGAATAAATGATTCTGCTTTCCAGCATTTTTATTATCCATTGTATGATGACTGGTTCTACCTTCAGGTGCTTCAGGAATTTTCCAATGGACTCAATCATTACATTATTGAATGCACCCTCTGTAGTATATAAAGTTCATTCAGCAAGATTGAACGGTTTGAGTTTTTATTTTCTTTTTTTTTTAACAAATATTCCGGAAAACGAAATAAAAAAGAAATAGGACCTACGTTGTAGAAACTTACTCAATTTTACTTACTTGACATGCTCCCGACAAAAGCAAAATTAGGGAAATTTGAGGGAAGTTGTGATATGTAAAATAGACGATTTTTTTTCGAAACGTCTAATTTATTATTAAAGAAAATCATACCGTTCTCAACCTGGAACTCACTAGGGAAAAGAGCACGGCAAAGAAACCCTTGATCTCCATTCCTTGAAAATCAAAACATAGTAAAGTGACATTTTAATAATATTATGTAATTGTGAGTCAATAATAATAGTTCAAATAAGGTACCGTCCTCGTCCTTGTGCTAACATTTCAATTCCACACACTACATTCAATCAACACCACCTATATTCAATACTGAAGAATTTTTGGTTAGTTAGCCAGTCTGCCAGCAGGTACTGAGGTCCCGTTCGGGAGGCTACTCAGCTATAGTTGTTATTTTATATCCACTTTTTCATTCGTAATAATTTTTTTTATCACTTCTGCGTCGGTTTTGAGATTGATTTGCTGTTCAAAGCTGTTGGCATTTGCTTCTGTAAAACCTGACAAGTGTGTCTCGAGGGTTTCTTTGCTGGATTCTACCCACGTATCGTCAGGCCTTTTGACTCCTCCAGGGACTGTCGAGTTCCTCGAAAGGATTTTCTTTAGCCTGGCTGACACATGAGTGTCCATAATGGACTCACAGAGTTCCCGCCATGAGCTCCTTTTCGCCGTTCTGATCTCGCTTTCATATCGGTTGAAGCTGGTTTTGTATTCATTCCAGTCTTCCTGTCTACTTCCTCTTTTTACTCGGTTGAAAAGTTTCCTTGTTTCGATCCTCAGTTGCCTTAATTCCGCTGCCCACCAGGGGGAACAGGTGCTTTTGCGGGGTCAGCTCAAGGGATTTATGGAAAGCTTTTCGAAGTTTTTCCTTCAGGACTCTGACAATATTCTGTATTCCTCATGGTTGAAGGATCTGACTCTTTGGTTGGAATTACCAGATTCTTTTACTCTTTTATGAGATGTGAGAATCTTTTCCAGCCTACCTTTCTGAATGGTTTAGCTTTAGGGAGTTCGCGATTGATTTCGAAGTTTATTCTTTTGTGATCAGAGAAAGATTGTTTGATAAATACCCTCCAATTTTCAACCTTTATTCCCTCCGAGTTTATGGCCAACGTCAAATCTATTACCTCTTCCCTGACCCTATTCGAGAATGTTAGTACGTACCTCTATTGCATATAAATAGGTCAGTGAGTATAAAGTTTAAAATTGACTCACCTATTTCGTTGATATTCTTGCTGCCTCATTGTGTGTCATGACCATTCGCATCACATCCCATTACTAGCAGATGTCCCTTCTCTTTGGCGTAGTTGAACAGAGATTGGATTGCGGTCGATATTGACTCCAGACACTTTGTACAACTTTCAATAAGATAACTTTTGATCCACCTACTTCTTATTTAGAATTATCTATTATAATGTCAACTTCAACTTTATCAATGTATCTACATGTTATTTATTAGATATAACTTTACATTTCCTAATTAGTGATATTCGATGTTTCAGGTCGGCATAAACTCAGCTGGAATCGAATACAGCGCCATCTCCTTACTATCGTCCCTATTGATGTTATACATAGCATTCGCCCTCAACAAATTCAGGCTGGACAAAAGGGTAGGCATGATATGTCTGCTGATGTACGGAGTATTTCTCACGTTGGCGAGCTTGATAGAACTTAATGCATTCTTCAGGGTGAATCTGCCAACTTGTGGACGGTGAAAAATCAAATTAACATTAATATATTGTGAGTGTATCAAGTGTAAGCAAGAGTCATAAACATTTTCAGTGATTGCTGTCGTGATCATGGAAAGTAGTACACAGTACACTTTTCACAAAAAGGGTAAGATAAATGTACCTGGTACCTCCAGTTATACAAGTTCAGCTTCTCCTTTTTTTATACGACAGTACAATAATGGTAGCATTTAACAATTGATCCAAATTTCATTCATATTTCGAAAGCTGTTATAGAGAAATAATGGTTTTGAAACCAAGTTATTTTAGAGTTAAACTAAAATTTCAAGACCTCAAAGAGAGCGTCAAATACATGTATTTTAATTTTAAACCATTTCTTATTTTAAATGATTCTCATAGGTTACATGTTACATTATCTAATATTATTCAGTATTTTGAGAATATATATTATTTTATTATAAAACCCGCCAAAAATTGATATTCTAGGCTAACAATTAGATTTTTAAAAATCCCAAAATAATAATAAATAAGCGTTTGCGTATAGAGGCTCTATCGCACACATTAAAGATATAGTTACGACGTTATCTATCAAAATTATTTTCAAAGCGTTTATCAATGAATTAAATTGAATGACGTTTTCTAATTCATTGAGCATCTTCTCCCATAAAAATTAATGAAATAGGTTAATATTGTAATAAATAAGTACCTCTTATAACTACTAAGATTTGTAAATATTATAATTAACAAAACGGTATTATTTTTGAGATAATTTATTTTACTCACTTATATCAATATTATGCCTAGATTTGTAGTGTAAGTAATATTATTTTTTATTAAAACTGTACAACAAAATTTAGTAAAAACCTTCAAAAAATCATTGGCATTGTATTTTCTTATAGCAAGTTGGGCTGATCCTCCGTGAGCGCGAGCCAAAAGATGACACTGATGACAATATGGTTACATGATCTCTCATTCGCATTCGAATTATAGAGCCGACCGGTGTGCTAAGAGTCTTTATACTCTTTATCTCTGGTTAATGTTGCGTGATGATAGTGAGGAAACATGCGTGTTTCCTAGCAAGACGTTCCTGGATTGAGTGATCGATTCCAGCCATCTTGCGGAGCATCTCATTGTGAAACACTTGCAATTTATTTTTATGATTTGCTGGCTTGGCAAAACGCTATTGATTCATGAAGCATAGATTATCTTGGGGGATAATGATTATCGTCATCATAGACATTAACTAACGATCGGGTAATGACTCAATTCTGGACTCACAATTTCTTCCACATGGACTGCACATTGGAAGTACATGTGTTACTTAGGAAGATTTGAGTCTGGCGTGCTGACGGACCAGCCCAGCGAAGCTTGTATAAGACGACGCTGACCCAATAAGTTCGAATCGGTTATGTAGCCGCAATATTTGATTAATGAGTCTTTAAAAAATTAACAAAATTATAGAAAATCTACTGATGGGTACTATTTTTATGCCCTGCCTCTGAGGACACCCTTGGAATAACTGTTTCAACTGTATTTGATGTAAAAGATGCCTTAGGTAAGTTAAGTTGGTAAGAAACAGTGTTTTCATTAACATTGAATGGTGTTTTTTTTTTAATAAAAAAGGTTGTCGTTTGCCTTTTTTGAATGGATGGCAAACTTTTTCTTTCCCGGATAGAAGCAAAAAAACTTGGAATCCGTCAGAACTATTTTTTATATTTTGCACAGTTCTGCACACCGATTTTCAAATAAGCAGCCCTAAATAAAGTTAGACTATCAAAAATTAATATACATATATATAACCAAACTCAATAATTCTTGGAGAGGATGTGCAAAATTTGGTTTGGGTAGTGCAAAATTATGAAGTATTTTGTTTCAAGATCGAGGCGGCATGGGGAGCAAACTTGACTGACCCTTTCCAAACTTACCCATTGATGGAAATTATTAAAACATATTTGGCCATAGGATTTGAAGGGCTTTCTCTTACATTTTGGTTATGAAATGCAGGCCTTTCTTTCTATTTTTGAGGGTTTTTTTCATAGGAATAAGTAGGTCTAGGTTCCATTAGATTATTTTGACTAGAAATAAAACTACAAGACAGGTTTAAATGGAATTATAATAAATTAAGAAATTAAGGTAACAGTAACAGTAAGTAAGGTAACAGTAACAATAAGTAAGGTTACAGTAACAATAAGTAAAGTAACATAGTATTTCTTATCTACTTTCTAATTAGGTATGTACAATGTATTTAGCGATGCGGGTCATCGTCGATGTTCCTGAAAACAAAAAAATAATTATAATTTTAGGGTTCCGGTTAATATACAATGTGGACATTGCGTATGGAAAAAATTCAACATAAAATAAATGAAGGCGTTTTAGATAAAAAGCTGGGACCCGTCGATTTTGTTTGAAATATTTGCACACAAAATTTTTCATACATTGAAATGCGACGTCGACAAATTGAACACGTTGCTTTCCTTGACTCCCTAGAGAAATAGGTTCCTGGGCTGCATTTTTCCGTTTCCTATGTGGTTAACATCAATTAAATAACTGCGTTCATTTTGCCAACCATGTGGGACACCCGTTTTTTCCTATTGTAAAACGAGCTCATCAGCTATACCTACCTACGGCAATGACAGGGATTGTCATATTTGACAAAAAATCCATTGTAGTTATTACAAGACTTGTCAGTCGGGTATCCCACTTTTTATGCTCACGACTGATTTTTGACATTGGGTTGGTTTTTAATAATAATTAATAACAAATTACAGAGTCAATAACTTTTTTTTATTAAATAAGAGAATAGCCTTTCACGACATGCAGGGTGTCCCAGGGAAAAAAATCCACCCCATTTATTGGATTTGAAATTAAAATCTGGAAAACCGCTCCGACACGTCGATTTTTGATTTGAGGGGGAACTATTTTTCAGTTTTTTTTTCCTTCCCCGTAGCTTCAACTTCCTAGCTAGGAAGAGAACGAGAAAACAACCCCCCAAATTTGAATAGGGGATAGGGGTCGTGTCATACCTCATTTTGAAGCTCTCATCGAGTTCTCCATAACCATAGAATTTTGTCTTATTTTCATCTGTAACGAAATGACAGCTTGTCAAAATATACTTGGAAATAGACTATTGTTTTAGTAGAAGTAGAAGTGATACTTACCTTCCTTAATCAAAATACTTGAAATTGAAGTTTTCTATTATTATTATCAATAAGGTGTACATGTAATTTGTAAATTCTAAGTATTTTCATGAAAGGAAATAAGTACCGCTTTTACTCCTACTAAAACAATAGTCTATTGCCAAGATTTTGACAAGTTGTCATTTCGTTACGGTGTAACGCTCTTTTGTCGAAACAAAAGAATGTTCATAATTTGTGCTCGACTATTGCTCAGTGGTAGTTTAGCTTGGGGTGGTCCTTGGTGTTGGTACAGTAGAGAGAGGGCGCCACTAGTTTGTATAGATAATTTTGATTACCAAGGAATAGCCAAACTAGGCACTATTCCATTAATTAGTTATTGTTTAAAAAGATAAATTAAAAAAAATCTGAAAAGGTAAAATAAATCCAAAATCCAATAGCTATCTGACATTCAACCCATTCAATAAAAACACAAGCTTTGGAATTCTAAACACAATTATTTATTTAAGTTAATTAAATGTCATTAAAAATTCGTGACAAGATGGCGAACTTTTTTTTTTTTTTTTGGTTTAAAAAAAATTATTGTCTAGTATCCAAGTTTTGTTACCATTAACCTTCAATTTTTGACTAAAGTCAATCAAATCAATAAAACCAAATTTAGAAATGCATAAAGGTAATAAGTAATCCCTAGGGAGTTATAAATACCAAAACCTATAATCAAAAGTATCGGGGAGAGCTCTACCGTCTTACCTGTAATTAAAATTCAAAATATGTAACCATGAAACTCAAATTCAACTACCTAGAGATTTTACATTGGCTTACCTTGCAGAATTACCACCTTATTGATTTGAAATTAAAGGTTAAATTATACTCTAAAAGTTAACTAATATTATATCGATCGGTATTCGATATAAAAGAAATAAATTTGTAATAATTATAATGATCTATAATTATTGGATACTAGATAAAGATAACGAAAACGATGATAAAGATAGTTATCTGATTACGATAATGATTAATTAATCAATAAAAATTACATTAAACTGTAGTTAGCTATTTTAGCCAAATACTACAATACGGTAGATAAGTCAGTAATTAATATTTACAAAGATATTAATTAGCTAATCAAGCTAATCAATAGTGAGCGATAAAGAAAAAGATAATAATAATTACCAGTTATCAATATTTGTAAAGATAATTATTAGCTAATAAAGCTTATCGATAGGGAGCAGTAAAAATTATGGGACCCATAGGTAAGTAATTATACAAGCCTGGATGAAATGCGTGGAAATTTTCATGAATTTGAGATCCAGAAGCACCAAACTGACGGAAGGCAATCATCCAATGGTCGGGGATCAATCTCTTACAAGACACAACTTTCCTTGTAGAGGGGGCCCAGACTTGCTTTGGAAATGCAGTACCGCATGGTCTCAAATTCGTCAAATTTTCACCCAGAAGTGTAGGCGTGGATTTTTAATACTCTCCCAAATTGCATGAACGGAATGAAGAAATATAGGGACTCATTTATCAAAGGGAAAAAGGGTTTACATACCTCAACGGCAGATAATTAACCTCCCTTTCAAAAAGGATAACGCACACCTAACATGGGATTTTTGGGCTCTATGGATTTTGCCCATTTTTTGATATGTTGTAGAGGATTTAATTCTGAATAACCTTTAAATTGGACGAAATCTTGTATGTATTACGGTCTTTGAGATATGAGCGTTGAAAGATGAACTTTTTCGCGACTTTTGGTGTGGAGAGTATACGAAATACTGGTGCTACTGGCAGTGCCGTATTTCCCTATACGCTCATTACGCACAGGCGTAGAGCGGCAAATCTGGGGAGGCGACAAAATTTCAAAAAAAAATCAGGAAAAGTGAAAAAATAATCAGGAAAAGAAAACCGAAGATCCAACGCGAAATGTGGTTCTGTTTTGCGTTGGATCTTCATTTGATTTTTGATAAATTCGAACAATATTATAATAAATGACAAAGCACAAAAAACTGATATCTACCAAAAAAATCATACAGCCTGTAAACGGCGGTTATGAAAATAAAAAGTACATATGAAAAAAAAAGAATCGAACAAAAAAACACACACAGATCAAAATAATGTGTAGGTAGGTACCAAGTGTAATAGAATGTAGGGAGTACAAAAAACAAAAATTTTGAAAGCTCAAAATAAACGTTTTTGGGCGTGGCACCCAAAAAGATTTTCGTTTAATCCTGGCGTCCGTATTAAGTTTGCCCCCTCTGCCCTCAAAAGCCTAATAGTCCAAGAGCCGGCAATATTAAAGGGTATGTGATCGTTGCAATGGATAATTTCTACATAAAACAATAGTTCATAGTAACCCTTAAACCAAATGAATGGGTTGCTCTGATTCTCATGGCCGTAAAGTTGTTTTATAAAAAGATGCTTTCATTAATTTTATAAATAGAACAAAACCATAAGCGCAACAAATAAGAAGTACCTTGCGGTGTAGGGGGTTCTCATCATATGCGGCGGATACTCTATTAACACAATTTCTTTTTTTGCCTAAAGACCTACAGCCGTATGCAAAATCCTCTTCACAGAATCCTCTTTTAACTTAAAAAGTGACTTTGAGAGCTGTCACTTTCAAAAATTTGTATTCAGCAAGTAAAATAACGCGCGCGCTCGACTTTCGATGAGGGTTGCCATCATTTCCGGCCATCAAAATCGAGGCAACCCTATATATTATTTGAGAAGACATATTAAAGAAAATATCCACCAATTTTCAGCTATTGCAGCGATAACATTGTTCCTTCGAAAAAAGAGGGGTAGTTTACGCCCAGCTACCAAAGAGTTGCTGCCATGAGAATTAAGCCAACCCATCCATTAAGTTTAAAGGTAACTATGAGCTATCGTTTTATGAGAAAATTATCGATTGTAACGAACACATACCCGTTAATATTGCCGGCTCTCCTACTATAAGTACACGTACGCCACTATCCGTGTCCTGTATCTTCTTGGCCTCCCAATTTCTTAAGGCACGCGCCGCCCCTGCCAACATGAGGGCGGCCTTTCTAAACAGGCGTAGGGCGGCAAATTAGTAAATCCGGCACTGGCTACTGGTGTTTATCAGACAAAATATTGACAGGTTCACATATTTGACGTCATTTTAAAATTAATGTCAATCAATTTAAAGCCGGGACCGCACTGGGGTCAATGTTGGCGCCAGTTCGGTCCCGGCCTTAGCCTATGTTGACATTTGTTAGTGACGTAAAATATGTCGACCTGTCAAAATTTTGACTGATAAACACCCGTTTTTCGTATACTCTCCACACAAAGACTTGCAAAATATTTCATATTTCAAGGCTCATATCTCAAAGACCGTAATACCTACAAGATTTCGTCCCATTTAAAGGTTGTTCAGAATTAAATCCTCTACAACATATCAAAAAATGGGCAAAATCCATAGAGCCCAGAAATCCCATGTTAGGTGTGCGTTATTCTTTACACAAAAATCAACAATCTATTGATTTTTCAGAAAACGTTCCAGCTGGCACAACTACTCACTCCTCTGGCTAGTTAAACTTATCCAATTTTGGGCTCGATGGCCAAGAATCAAAACCAAAGTTTTTGGATTTCTCGGAGACGACCTTTTCAGTCTAACTATAAAATCGAAAAAGAAAAGTCAAAAGTATCAAACTGTGGTTGTATCTTTCTTCCTCTGTCAAGCCTGTCGAAATTATAAAAATGACAGTGCTACGGGTTTTTCTTATGAAGAACCTTAGTTCGGTTCGGCGGGAGTGCGAATGGAGTCACTCGGAGTACCGGAGTGAGCAAATCGAAACCACCTTTTGATAATATAATTTTCGGTATTAGGTCAGGAAACTAGTCAAATGTTACAACGGATGAAAATAATGAGACGAAATTCAAGGGTCATAAAAAAGCTACGGAGATGAATGTACTAATTTTTGTTTCAATACGATACAGGATGATGACAATTTTTTTGGTTAAGGATGTTCTAATAGTACATTAAAATACAAGTTTCATAAGACGTAATTTTAACGCACGAGCCCTATATTAGAAAACGAGCCGGAGGCGAGTTTTCTAAAGGGCGAGTGCGATAAAATGTCTTATGAAACGAATATTTTATACTATTTTTTCTATTT